TCGAGGTTCTCCTCAATCCCCCCGTCACGTCCTCCATCCCGGAGGCAGAGGCTGAGGATGTTGGGGCGGATACTTCCATCTCCCTGGCAGAGGTCACCAAGGTGGTTGGCAGCCTCCATGGTGGCAAGGCGCCGGGAGTGGATGAGATCCGTCCTGACTATCTAAAGTCTCTGGATGTTGTAGGACTGTCTTGGCTGACACGTCTCTGCAACATCGCGTGGCGATCAGGGGCAGTGCCAATGGAGTGGCAGACCGGGGTGGTGGTCCCTCTCTACAAGAAGTGGGACCGGAGGGTGTGTTCCAATTATCGTGGGATCACACTCCTCAGCCTCCCTGGTAAGGTTTACTCCAAGGTACTGGAGAGGAGGCTACGGCCGATGGTCGAATCTCGGATTCAGGAGGAGCAGTGTGGTTTTCGTCCCGGTCGCGGAACACTGGACCAGCTCTATACTGTCCATCGGATACTCGAGGGTTCATGGGAGTTCGCCCCAACCTGTCCACATGTGCTTTGTGGATTTGGAGAAGGCGTTCGACCGTGTTCCCCGGGGTGTCCTTACGGGGGTTCACCGGGAGTACGGGGTCCGGGGTCCTCTGCTGAGGGCCGTCCGGTCCCTGTATGACCGGATCCAGAGCTGTGTTCGCATTGCTGGCAGTAAGTCAGACCTGTTCCCGGTGCATGTTGGCCTCCGCCAAGGCTGCCCTTTGTCACCGGTTCTGTTCACTGTGTTCATGGACAGAATTTCTAGGTGCAGCCAGGGGTCGGAGGGGGTCCGGTTCGGGGACCACAGGATTTCATCTCTGCTGTTTGCGGATGATGTCGTCCTGTTGGCTCCAACGAACCAGGATCTGCAGCATGCACTGGGGCGGTTTGCAGCCGAGTGTGAAGCGGCTGGGATGAGAATCAGCACCTCCAAATCTGAGACCATGGTGCTCGATTGGAAAAAGGTGCCTTGCCCTCTACAGGTGGGTGGGGAGGTCCTTCCTCAAGTGGAGGAGTTCAAGTATCTCGGGGTCTTGTTCACGAGTGAGGGAAGGATGGAGCGTGAGATTGACAGGCGGATCGGTGCAGCGTGCGCAGTGATGCGGTCGCTGTATCGGACCGTCGTGGTAAAGAGGGAGCTGAGCCGAAAGGCAAAGCTCTCGATTTACCGGTCAATCTTCGTTCCCTCCCTCACCTATGGTCATGAGCTGTGGGTAATGACCGAAAGAACGAGATCGCGGATACAAGCGGTCGAAATGAGCTTCCTCCGCAGAGTGGCTGGGCGCTCCCTTAGAGATAGGGTGAGGAGCTCAGTCACACGGGAGGAGCTCGGAGTAGAGCCGCTGCTTCTTCACGTCGAGAGGAAGCAGTTGAGGTGGCTCGGGCATCTGTTCCGGATGCCTCCTGGACGCCTCCCTGGGGAGGTGTTCCGGGCATGTCCCACCGGGAGGAGGCCCCGGGGAAGACCTAGGACACGCTGGAGGGACTATGTCTCTCAACTGGCCTGGGAGCACCTTGGGGTCCCCCCAGACGAGCTGGAGGAAGTGTGTGTGGATAGGGAAGTCTGGGCGTCTCTGCTTAGACTGCTGCCCCCGCGACCGGGCAACGGAAGCGGCAGAAGATGGAATGGAATGGAATGAAACCCAAATAATAATGGAATGGAATGAAACCCAAATAAAAAATGCCATATTGTGGAACCTTCCAGGAGCCATAAGAAAGACTGAGTTCACATTTATTACAGATGAGAAATCCAAAAAGGCCTGAGTGAAACTGTGCACACTCAGAACGAATCCCCACACGACAGACCAGTCCCCAAAGACCAGTCCCCAGCCCTCAGTCTCCAGCCCCCAGTCCCCAGCCCTCAGTCTCCAGCCCCCAGTCCCCAGCCCACAGACCACAGTCCACAGACCACAGGGGAAACTCTCTTTTTCACTGTGAAGAAGCTGGCCTTTATACTACAGCAGGTTGTGCACACGTTAAATCACCGATGTTAGTAATAATGATAATAAAAAGTGAAATTTTCCATGTCAAAAAGGTGCAGGTAGAAAATCCTCGACTGACCTCTGTGTCACGGGGCAAACTTGCTCTTTCAAACTCAATACTTTCCCGTGTTTCCAGCAATGACTCAAGAGAAAACACAACATAGATCTTGTGTGGAGGAGAATACTTTGCAAATGTGTGTATTTAAAGTTACAATACCTGCATTCAACCATACTATATTCACTTACATGGTCCAATCAGAACAATGTAACTAAAAACTCCTACTCAAAATGTACTTGAGTAACTGTAATCCCTTCACTTCAGTACAGTACTAAAGTCCCCTGAGCCTCTGGGGACAGCAGATGGGGGTTAGCGTTTGTCTACAATCTGGTGTGTTACATGCATGTGGTTGATCATGTCTATTCATAAATATGCAGAGTCCCAGTCAAAGAAAGAATTCTGAACATGTATAGGTTTTGTTCATGTGACATCACAACGTTACAAAGAGCCTATTGCTTAACACTGGTGGTGAAGGGCAGCTGAGGGCAGTTTCTAGTCACATTTCTAGTCTTGGTTTTGGGCTAATTCCTCAGTAATCCCATGACCAATCCACATAATACCAAAACTGTCTCAAAGTTCTGCAATTGTCAGTGGATGTATTGATTATTGTCTAATGTTTTTGAACTTTTTTTAATTTGGGGGAGTCCTGGCCCCAGAGAGAGGGGAGCTGTGTATGTATGTATGTATAGTGTTGACAATAATCATAAACACAACATAGTTTCAGACATAAGAATAATACGGCAAGTTAAATAATGATCTGGGAAAACATTAGAAAAAGCTTCTTTCCTTTAGAAATTGGCTCCTGCCCTCCCTTTTTTCATATCAACATCAAACATTGCATTTCAACAACACTCATTCAGTTATTTATTTTTTATTTTTTGGTCAATTTTATTTCTATTTTCACCATTTTGGAGTTGTATCGGCTCCTGCCCTCCAACTGGAATACCATAGGTCAAGAATGCAATATATTTAGTTACACCTCAAAACATTAGAATAAGTGAGAGCGTAAGAATAAGCTTTGAAAAGGTGCTCTGTAGATGTTTTTTCATGTCTCTGCTCTCTTTTGTGTGTGTGTGTGTGTGTGTGTGTGTGTGTGTGTGTGTGTGTGTGTGTGTGTGTGTGTGTGTGTGTGTGTGTGTGTGTGTGTGTGTGTGCGTGTGCGTGTGTGTGTGTAATTGCCCTCTGACCCAAAGGATCTGTTTATTGTCCTTCATTCCTCTTTCAGATTCCATCACTGCGTCATCCTCTGACTCTCAACTTCCAGAGAACTTTGGACGCATGGAGGCAGTACCCCTTTTTGACCAGTGTCATTCAAACCTCCACAGCAACTTCCCCTTTAAAAGATTTCTGTCACTTCCCCAACAATTAAGTCCTTCCACAGCCGTTCCATTTCGGATTAAGTGTCGATCTGAAGACCCTGAGTTACAGCATGTGTTTCATAAATAGTAAAGTTTTCATAAAAAAACTTGCTCTTGCCTACATCTCTTACGAGGAGGAGGAGGAGGAGGAGGAGGAGGAGTTGAAGATGAGCGAGAAACAAGAAGTACATTGAGGATGAGATGAATCGGAGAGGCAATTCAAAGTGCTTCTCAAAACATGAAAAGAAACTTACTCCATAATTATACAGTTAATAATACACAGTGGTGATAAACTACTGCTGTGGCCACAGCTGCCCTGGGGCACACTGGTCAGAGTGAGGCAACCCGTACGTAATAAGTAAATACTGCAACTTCAGAATGTCCATGAAGTTCACTTTATCTACTTGTTACTCTGTACGTATATAAATTTGCACCTATACTTTTTTGAAAGACTGATATTGACACATTTACAGCTAACAAACAGCAGCTACTTATTTTGTTCATTTATTTATTGTTTATTTGGTTGGGACAGTACATGTTCAAGAACAGATCAGTCCAGATTGTAACCATGGGCTAATTGGCATCCTTTGCCCCATATTCGCGCTCACAAACACTCATTTACCCTGGACTGTTGCACATGTTTTTAGTGGTAGGGGAAACCGGAGTGCCCGGAGGAAACCTACGCAGACACAGGGAGAACTTGCAAACTCCACTCAGAAAGACCCTGTTCCGACTCAGCCACAGTGCCGTTCCTTTTGTGTCCTCCCTGTGTCTCTTACTACTGCAAAAGGTGATGAGTACATTCTGACTGCCTTAAGATAAGAGAAGAAGAAAAATGTTATGTGCTTTTATTCTGATGTTGTGATTATGATCAGACTTGCTGTAGCACCTTGGGATGTGCTTTGTATATGTAAGGTGTGTTATAAATAAAATCTGTTAATATTATTATTATTATTAAAGTTAATAAGATAAACTTTATTAAGGACAAGGCAAAATGTTCTTGTTATAAAAAAGATACAAGAAAGGAAAGGTCTCCCTTGGAATGAGAAAAAAAAGCAAAAATTCCTAAAATAAGACTAAATGTCTGTGTTCCATTGGCATATGTTGTTTTAAGGCACTCAAAATCTACTCCAATTAAGATATAAACCAGTCGATTCAAGCAGTAATTACCTCATATTTTATCATTTTTGCTGTAAATGGCATTCTGTGGTTAATGTGAACAAATGTAGATGAAAATACATGAGACAAATGTGAAGCAGCCGTTTCCCCGTGAGGCAGAATGTTCCTCAGGTGTAATCATTTCACTGCTGTCACTGACCAGTTCCTCTTTGACTGGGGATTTCTGACTCTCTTCTGCTTCTAACTGTATAAATACAACCAGAGCGTTCACTTCGGTACACAAAGAGCAAACAGGACACACACCTTTGGCAGCTGGAAGAAATAATTATACACACACAGAAAGAAGGTAAGGTTTTTCTTTAAAGACGGTAATGTATAAGATTCTAATGTTAAATATTTATAATTGACAACTGTTTCTGTAGATGGGCAGATTAGTCTTTCTGGTTCTGTTTGGGATGTTGTACTTTTCCTCCGGAGGTTTTTCGGCAAAACTTGAAAGACTGATGGATAATGGTGAGTAAAAAAATGTATTTATTTAGATATTAAAGGTGGGGTACGCAACTTTTTTGTTTCATAAATAACACATGTTGTTTGTCCAAATAGAAATCCTTGTAAAACATACTGCCTTAATTTCAATAGAAAAAAAAACATCTTTTGCACACTTGTAATATTTTTATTTTATTTATTATTTATTTGTTTACTACTAATAGAGCCCTGTGAGTCACTATTTGACACTTTGGGCTGAAAGCTGATTGGCTGAGAGGGGGTAGTCCTCTCTTGTTCACTTTTCTGTCTGAAAAAGCTGACATAAAGAAGGGACAGAGGTCAAAAATACCTGCAAGTGAAAAATAGTAAAATAACAAATTTTGAGAGTTAGTTGGAATTAATGTATTATAGCGTTCCAATTTTTTGCAGTTTGAAAGTTAGGTACCCCAGCTTTAACCAACTGGCAGAAAACCATGGATATTATTGTGAAGAGTCAGTAGCTACTAATCCACAACGGTCTTATAAATCATTGATATTGTGGCTTGAAGATTAAGATGATAAAGATAGGAACAGAAGTTGGTGTAAGAAGTGTCTGATTCTCTGATCTGCTGTTGGCAAATCGACAACTGAGTAAAGTCCCCAGAGACACGACTGCTGATGTGGTTTAAGACTAGACAGAAATAAGATGAAATTGAATAGATTGATAGTATTCACAGCTGTGGCGAGGTTTGTTTTGTTGAGGTCGAGGGGAAGAAAATCTGTCTAATAGGACGTCTGTGTGTGTGTGTGTGTGTGTGTGTGTGTGTGTGTGTGTGTGTCTATCAGTTGTGGTTTTGCGGGTGCCAGACATCTATGGCTCCAGAGTGACTGTGCCCATCAGCTGTGGCGAAGCGTTCCGAGACGAGCCGGTGACGTGGAAGAGAGACGGTGAGAATCATCCGTTCTCTACAAAAAACATATCACTACATTTCATTCATTCTGCATAAGTTACATTTGCATTTCTATATTTACAACTATGACAGTGTGACAGTGTTAAAGGAGCAGAATGTAAAAATCTGACCAAATGTGGTACTGCACTGTTTTGTTCATGTTGCCAGATATGCAGACAAATTTCTGAATTAAGAGGTTTGTCAACAACACGTGGCTCAGTTGGTAGAGCATTGGTCTTTGAGCCCGAAGGTTGTGGGTTCGAGCCCACCATAAGACCTACTTCACGACTCCCACTGATCATTGTGTCCTTGGGCAAGACACTTAACCCCACTTTGCCTGAAGTTCCCACTAAAAGATCTCAGCTCCTGTGGACTCCTGTAGGAGAATCAGTGAGGAGCTGGTGCTCTGTGTACTGGGGGCAGCTCTGACTGCCACCCCCTTGACCCAGAAATTGATTAAGGGGAAGATAATGGAAGGATAAATGGAACAAGACCTTTTTTAGTTCTGCGGCCACATAGTACTTTACCAGTGAGATTAGCTTGACGCTTCCGCCAACCCGGATCACAGACTTTCTGATTGGTGAAACAGTGGACATCGACATCGAAATCAAAACAATAACAAGAGTTAAGGGCTGTAAAACTAATTTTGAAATCCAAATATCTCTGAACTACTGTTATCAGTTAAAGAAGTATTTGAAAAAAGAATGGTTTATTTATGCCTTTTGACAGATTAGGGCTCTTTAATGATGACTTGACATGAAAATCTTACATATTGCTAAGATGAAAAGATCCTTTATTCGTCCGACAGTGGGGAAATTTCAGTGTTGCATCACAAGTTACAGACAGTAGGAATGAGGCGCACACAACTTTATACTAAAACAAAATAAAATCTCTAAATCTAGCATAAAAAGAAGCAGTATAAATCTCTAACTTTATCATAATAATTAAAACATTCTAAGTATATAATTCTGTATATTCTAGTGCAAGTGTATAATAGTTGTGTTAGACTTTGACGTCCTCTCTCCTCGTGCTCCAGGCGTCTTCCAGCCCGCGCTGCAGGGGAATGACATCCATGTGACGGTGAGGGAGTGGGACGGGGGAGACTTCAGCTGTCACCAGAGTCCAGAGGGTCCAGCGCTCAACCACACGCTGCTCCTGGTCCAACTGGAGCCAGACAACCGGACCGCCATCCTGCAGCCCAGGGGTGCGGACAGAGGTGAGGGAGGCAGCTTCTGTCGCGGAGGCAAAAGGAAATGAACCCAAGCTGCAAAAACAATGGTGTAAAATCAAATGCAAAAAGTAGCCATACCTGCATGTGAAAGCCAGATCCCGTTAGATCTCTGAGTCTGTGCATGGCAGTGCCTGGTCAGTACTGTGATGGGAGACCTCTGGGAACACCAGGTGGGGCGGCTGCGGCTGTGAAGTGCCAAACTGTCATTGTGTCCTTAAACAAGACACTTCAAAAGTAACTAAAAAGACAGTGGTGATGATCCAGGACACTCAACATTCAACAACATTTATGGACATTGGTTTCTGCCCCTTATGGACCAATGTGTTCTTATCATTGCCTCCCCCGCTTATTTCTGTTAGTAAAGGGTTAATTACATATTTGACTGAACTTTATGTACTTTACAACACCATATTTTTAGGCCAATAACAGGCAAAAATATAACAACAACATGTCAAACTGTTGTACTAGAAAATACTTAAAATATGTGTTTGTTTTTACAGATTACATCCACTGTTCGACCCCAAACTACAGAGGCTCTTTCCACTGTCACTGGAGCAAGCACCATCACCGCTCTGGGGCCTCGGTGCTGATGGTCAAAAGCCATCGGTGAGATCTATAACTTTGGTCAATTCAATTCAATTCGTGCTTGTATAGCCCTAAATCACAACTGTAGCGATCTCAAGAATGAATCGTGTTGAATTTGAAGCAATAATTTACACGGAATTTCAAAAACAGCTCAGTTTTTGACCTGTTTTAGATCCATTTTAGATTCGTTTTGGATCAGTCATCTTAAGATCGGCAATAATTCAGCAGTTCTTTCCGACATTTGATGAATGTTGCGTGGATCTACATGTGTCGGTGACCGTTGCTGTAAAGATGGTGTTGTGTTGCAGTAACCAGGAGCCGGTGCCGTGTGTCGTTGAGCCCAGCGGGTCGGAGATGTGCTGCGAGGAGAATAACTGTCCGTACAAAGAGGAGCAGCACCGTATCTCCCTCACACTGTACATGAAGAGTGCGTCCCGGCTTGAGGCCTACACCAAGGCCTTCTACCTGCGAGATATCGGTCAGTGACTTTCTGTGCAAGAGGGAGTGTGACTGTATGGGGCAATAGCTGCATTTTACATATTCAAGATTCAAGATTTTGTTTGCCATTTGTGTGCACCAGTGTGCACCAGATAGATTGTATTTATTTCATTTATTTTAATCATTTCAATATTTCATGTATTTTTTTATCTATTCTATTTTATTTATTTTATTTATTGTATTTATTGTATTTATTGTATTTATTTTATTTATTTTATTTATTTTATTTATTTTATTTATTTTATTTATTTTATTTATTTTATTTATTTTATTTATTTTTCTTTGTGGTCCCCTATAGTCTCCAGCAAAGCCGAGACCACTGCAGATACAAAAACACTACAGTACAGATTTACTCACAGTGCACGTGTACAACAGCTTGATTATACATTCTATTGAAATTACAAAACAGATTATTTGGACTTAATCATTTCATTTAATTTTCTTTAGACGTCTCTTAAAAGTAGAATGTGTTGCAAGTGTGAATATACTCTGGCGGCGGTGTATTCCAGAGAGAAATGATTTAGTGAGTACCAGAGCAAGGCCTGGGTAATACTTTGATGGGAGACCTCTGGGAACACCAGGTGCCACAGTGGGGCGGCTGCAGCTCTAAAGAGCCAAACTGCTGTTGTGTCCTTAGGCAAGACTCTTTGCTTCTTAACTAAAAAGACAGTGGTGATGATCCAGGACATGATCCAGAACACAACATTTATCTGACCGTTATGGACCAATGTGTTTTCTATCTTTGCATTCTTGTGTTTGGTTTGACTCTCTGATCTGTGTTGGCGAATTCAACAGAAAACGACTGTTGCGATTTAGGGTTATACAAAAATACAGGTTATTTACAATAGATCTTTTTCATTCCAGTGACCCCAGGACCTCCTACAAACCTTCACATCATCACCAGAAGTGAGACCAGCAGAGCCTTCGGATGGAACTATCCCGAGTCCTGGGACAAGCCGTGCAGTTACTTCAGTCTGCTCTTTCAGGTCAAAGTGGTGCGCAGCGGAGGGACCTGCCACTCCGAAGAGTACGTCCTGGTAAGAGAGAATCAAAACACTCACTGAGGAAAAGTAATCAAAGAGAATGACACAGGAATCTCCAATAGAGACCATTGTGTGGAATTATACTTTACCCAATTACAGCAACTGTGTGTATTAGGAGACAGACCAGACGTGCCACTGTTGAACAAAAATGTTTTTAGAGTAGTAAATACTGCACTGGTAACAAGTGCCTGTCTTATTTTAAGAGAATCGAAAGACCCTCACAGCCCAACAGTAAAAATGTAGAAAGAAAAAAATATTGAAAATGTAGCATGTGAAAAGATGCTGGTAAGACTTTCCACCAATGAAGCCTCAAAAGAACAAGATTGAGTTTATTTGCCATTTGCAGTAAAACCACATTGGAATACATTTGCAAGAGTCCCCAGTGAGCACCAGACAAGAACAGAACTGAAATAAGGTTAAAAGTACAGCAATGGGACAGTTTCTATACTTACCTTGATATTAGGCACATTCAAACTCATTGACTGCCAGCCGGTTTTGATGATTTCACTGATTTTCAAGACCCACAGAATATTGTTTCCTAAGACTCTACAAATTATGAAACCAGATTCTGAAAGACTGTATTGTCTAGTTTCATCAGCAACAATAAATTGGTTTCTAGCTGGTTTTGTTCTTATGTAATCCCCGGTCGAATTGAGGGAAGTTTGACAGATATCTCCAGTCCCAGACAATTAGGTCAATGGCAGTCAATGAGTTAAGACAGAGAATATTGCGCTAGAGCCACCTGTTTGTTCTTGTGTCTTCGTTTTGTTTTAGGTGTTTTTTTGTAAATACATAAACTCAATAAAAGATTTGAAAGACCAAAAAATGACATTTACGTGTGTGCAGGAGGACGCCACTTCTCAGATGGTGTATGTGGTGAACAGAGCCAAGAAGTACGTTTTCTGTGTGCGAGCCCAGGACAAGCACACGGGGGGGCCATGGAGCGAGTGGAGTCAGTGCGAGTGAGTCACTGAACACATTTTACACAAACTGCAATACTACAATACTACAATACTACAATACTACAATACTACATTTACTACATTTACTACACTCGATTTCAATGCTAACAAAAATATTCCATACTCAATGGCCATTTCAATACTACAATTCAATTTAGATTATTTTGTATAGCCCTAAATCACAACCCCAGACTTTACAGAGTTGTCGATTCGCCAACACAGAACAGAAAATCAAACCGTTCGAACCTAGGAAATGCTATAATAACAAACGCATAGGAGCCATAAAGGTTTCCCTCAAATACAACACTTTTGATGGATTTATGAGACAAAAGGTTTTCCACACATTCTGATTCAGTTCAAAAATGTGTATTTAAAAGTGCTTACCGTCCATCCATCCCTTTTCTTCCCCTTTATCCCCTTTTGCAGTGCATGTTAGTCTTTGATATGACAAGTAGAATCTTTCACATGCTTTGGTTGATAACTGTTTTTATTTCTTCACAGCGTCACCAGAGACAGGTTCATCTGCTAGACCCGCCGCTGCTTCAGTCTTCTCCTCTCTGAATATTTTAATGTATTTTTGTACAGTATTTATTGACCTGCGGGTTGCTCTATTCTTGTTCTATATTATTAAATACTTTATGGACAATAACAAATACATTTCTGTTTTGTTTACTTGATTGCATACATTAAATTATCGTAACATCAATAACACAATTTACACATAACGAAACAAGAGAATAAGACAGTTTTGAAAAGGGGTTGAATTATTAAGCGCAACAAAAAGAATCATAAAGAACAATACAAAGCTATAGAACAGTAACACAATACAATGTCATAATACAAGACAACACACAAACACGGTCCAAACACTCTCTGACCCGACACCTGTGCTAAGGGCAACACTTCCTTTTTAAACAATTTTCAAAGTTATATTTAGGTTTGAACATGTTTTTAAATCAAATGTAGAAAGTTCCTTATGTATTCTTTATGTTGAAGGCCTGCAAGGTTATATTGATAGGCCAAAAGAGTGTAATGACAAAAAAAAGCTAGTACTGCTTAATCACTGCATGTTTGGACGGTAGACTTCTGCTTTTGTCAGAGGAGACACGTGACGGATATTGTTACTGAATGCAGTCAATCTGAGAGAGCCGTCAGACTGACAAAATAAAGAAATGTTGTCCAAATGTGCAATATGGAACTATATGTGTCCACTTTCACATTACTTAACCACACACCCTCATGATGCTAACATGTACGGATCATAAAGTACAGATGTATACATACAACTACATCATTCTTGCACTAGAATATAAGATAAGATCAACTTTATTGATCTCGCAATGGTGATATTTACACATTTAGCATAGATAGAATCACTCAGGTCGTGCAAAAAGACAGGAAGTCTGTCGTTAAAAAGGTTAAAAGCTCTCTTTTGTGCAAGATATATTATGTACAATACAATTAAAAGTGACAATAGCAGTGCCAGTTTTTCAGTCCTTTTTCAGTCAGTCAGTGCAGATGGGGTTCCTCGCACAAACCAGTGTAGTGTTGGAGAAGGAATGCACTCTGAGTTATGTATTAAAGAAAGAGTTTAATAGCATAATCAGAACACACTAAGTCAAATTCAGACTTAGCCCTTTCAGCCTGGGTCAACTCTGAGAATGATGATGGCAAGAATGACACCGAACACACGGAGCACTGGGATCTAATAGAATTTTAGAATAAGTCATAAGACACAGTCGCTTTGAGAAGCTGCATCTGAGAAGCTGCATCTTTAGGGGTTATCCATAAATAAATCAAATTAAATAAAAATTAAAACAAAACATACATTAACGGACAGCCATGTGCCTTCTCATGTCAGTGCTGTTTACACATATGAAGATCTCCTATGGTTTTTCCAGAGTCACGTCACGACTGAGAAGAGGGTCATTAGAGTCAGCTGCCTCTGCGATTGGGCCTAAATGTTCCAAACACAATTTTTAACTTATGAAGATACATATATGTAGAAGTTATAATAGCACACACTACATCATTAAAGTGACTTATTGCGCAGTCTGACAGCGGTGGGGATGAAGGCCCCGCGGTCTTAAGTATTTTACACGTTATTTATTTATTAGGCCCGAGCCCCGAACGGGGTAAGGGCCTATTGCTTTCACAATGGTGAAAACAAATGGTGGCGGTGCGTGACGGACGCGTCAGCGCCCGTCACTCACCAAAACGTGACGGTTGCGTGCGTTAACTCAAAAGCTTTAAAATGATGTATCACGTGCCATTGAAACCTATATTGTTTTTGCTCGAGACGTCGAAAAAAAAATTCCTTTTTTATTTATTAGGCCCGAGCCCCGAACGGGGAAAGGGCCTATTGTTTTTGCTCGAGAGATGTCAAATTCTGCACTTTGAGCCTTTATTTCACCCCCTGAACATGCATGAAAAGTTGTAAAATTTTGACCAAACATCAGACCTGGTGAAAAATTTGATATTTTGGTGTTTATTTTTATGGGACTCAAAAAATGCCAGAACAGCGCCACCTACAACAGCCAATGGGAGTTTCAGAGGTCAAGTTTGTCGTAGAGCCATGAAATTCGGTACACATGTTCCTCAAGTCAAGATAACGACCGAAATGTTATCATGGCTCCGCCCTCTGACAAACAGGAGGCCCATAAATTTCACTGCAAAATGGAAAAATGAACAGCAAAAGTTTTCATACATGTCGGTTGGAAAGCGACTCCTCCTCGGCCGTTTCACCGATTGGCCTCCATATCACTCCACATTGTCTAAACACATGTACCATCAAAATGACCTCAGGGATTTTTGATCAGTGAAACGTTGTTTGAGCAGCGGAGCGGCAAAATGTGAGTGTTTTATTGGCCGTTTTTCACAACCTTCTATTTGCTCCCGTTTACACATACAAATTCCGATTTGCACAAAACTTGAATCCATGGTTCAACTCTAGGGTCTAGGTCATTTGAAAGTGAAATAATTGAACTTGGCTCATTAACGCCCCCTACAGACTATTTCAGAGTTTTTAGTATGAAAAACTCTGAAAACTTTGACTCCATCTGTAGGGGCACTAATGAGCCAAGTTCTTTTATTTCACTTTTAATTGACCTAGACCCTAGAGTTAAACAATGTATTAAAGTTTTGTGCAAATCAGACTTTGTATGTGCAAACGGGAGCAAATTTAATATTGTCCAAAACGGCCAAAAAAAGGTCACAATTTGCAGCTCCCCTGTTCGAACAACGTTTCACTGATGAAAAATCGCCGAAGTCATTTTCAAGGTACATGTGTTGAGATGATGTGGAGCGATTTTGAGGCGAATCGGTGAAACGGCCGAGGAGGAGTCGCTTTCCAACCGACATGTATGAAAATGATTGCTGTTCATTTTTCCATTTTGCAGTGAAATTTATGGGCTTCCTGTATGTCAGAGGGCGGGGCCATAATAACATTTTTTTCATGTCTTGACTTGAGGAACATGTGTACCGAATTTCATGGCTCTACGACAAACTTGACCTCCGAAAAATCCCATGGGGGTTATTATTAGGCCCGAGCCCCGAACGGGGAAAGGGCCTATTGTTTTTGCTCGAGAGATGTCAAATTCTGCACTTTGAGCCTTATTTCACCCCCTGAACATGCATGAAAAGTTGTAAAATTTTGACCAAACATCAGACCTGGTGAAAAATTTGATATTTTTTGGTGTTTTTATTTTTATGGGACTCAAAAAATGCCAGAACAGCGCCACCTACAACAGCCAATGGGAGTTTCAGAGGTCAAGTTTGTCGTAGAGCCATGAAATTCGGTACACATGTTCCTCAAGTCAAGATACGACCGAAATGTTATCATGGCTCCGCCCTCTGACAAACAGGAGGCCCATAAATTTCACTGCAAAATGGAAAAATGAACAGCAAAAGTTTTCATACATGTCGGTTGGAAAGCGACTCCTCCTCGGCCGTTTCACCGATTGGCCTCCATATCACTCCACATTGTCTAAACACATGTACCATCAAAATGACCTCAGGGATTTTTGATCAGTGAAACGTTGTTTGAGCAGCGGAGCGGCAAAATGTGAGTGTTTATTGGCCGTTTTTCACAACCTTCTATTTGCTCCCGTTTACACATACAAATTCCGATTTGCACAAAACTTGAATCCATGGTTCAACTCTAGGGTCTAGGTCATTTGAAAGTGAAATAATTGAACTTGGCTCATTAACGCCCCCTACAGACTATTTCAGAGTTTTTAGTATGAAAAACTCTGAAAACTTTGACTCCATCTGTAGGGGCACTAATGAGCCAAGTTCTTTTATTTCACTTTTAATTGACCTAGACCCTAGAGTTAAACAATGTATTAAAGTTTTGTGCAAATCAGACTTTGTATGTGCAAACGGGAGCAAATTTAATATTGTCCAAAACGGCCAAAAAAAGGTCACAATTTGCAGCTCCCCTGTTCGAACAACGTTTCACTGATGAAAAATCGCCGAAGTCATTTTCAAGGTACATGTGTTGAGATGATGTGGAGCGATTTTGAGGCGAATCGGTGAAACGGCCGAGGAGGAGTGTCGCTTTCCAACCGACATGTATGAAAATGATTGCTGTTCATTTTTCCATTTTGCAGTGAAATTTATGGGCTTCCTGTATGTCAGAGGGCGGGGCCATAATAACATTTTTTTCATGTCTTGACTTGAGGAACATGTGTACCGAATTTCATGGCTCTACGACAAACTTGACCTCCGAAAAATCCCATGGGGGTTATTATTAGGCCCGAGCCCCGAACGGGGAAAGGGCCTATTGTTTTTGCTCGAGAGATGTCAAATTCTGCACTTTGAGCCTTTATTTCACCCCCTGAACATGCATGAAAAGTTGTAAAATTTTGACCAAACATCAGACCTGGTGAAAAATTTGATATTTTGGTGTTTATTTTTTATGGGACTCAAAAAATGCCAGAACAGCGCCACCTACAACAGCCAATGGGAGTTTCAGAGGTCAAGTTTGTCGTAGAGCCATGAAATTCGGTACACATGTTCCTCAAGTCAAGATACGACCGAAATGTTATCATGGCTCCGCCCTCTGACAAACAGGAGGCCCATAAATTTCACTGCAAAATGGAAAAATGAACAGCAAAAGTTTTCATACATGTCGGTTGGAAAGCGACTCCTCCTCGGCCGTTTCACCGATTGGCCTCCATATCACTCCACATTGTCTAAACACATGTACCATCAAAATGACCTCAGGGATTTTTGATCAGTGAAACGTTGTTTGAGCAGCGGAGCGGCAAAATGTGAGTGTTTATTGGCCGTTTTTCACAACCTTCTATTTGCTCCCGTTTACACATACAAATTCCGATTTGCACAAAACTTGAATCCATGGTTCAACTCTAGGGTCTAGGTCATTTGAAAGTGAAATAATTGAACTTGGCTCATTAACGCCCCCTACAGACTATTTCAGAGTTTTTAGTATGAAAAACTCTGAAAACTTTGACTCCATCTGTAGGGGCACTAATGAGCCAAGTTCTTTTATTTCACTTTTAATTGACC